TAATAGGCCAAGAATAAAAAGACATTTAAAAGAAGCTGAGACACGAGACGATGCATAGACTTCCTTATTGTCTTCTTGTTTCCACTAGCATTAAAACATTCATTCAAACATTTCTCTCATACTTCAGCTTCCCGCAGATTAGACGTAAGAATGTCTTGACCGCGCAGAAGGGCAGAGCGCGGGCCATTGGCTTGCTGCTGCCTGGCCGTGTGACCTCGGGTAAGACCCTGCTCCTCTCTGGGGCTCAAGCTCCTCCCCAGAAAAGCCAGGACGCCCGAACTTCCTTCCAGCTCTGCCGTGCTTCCACTCTGCATGCCTGTCATGGCTGCGCACCCAGCCCTTTGCTTCCCAGCAGCGGAAATAGTCAGGAAAATACAAACAGAAGGACAGAATTTTGAACAGAGCACTCACACAGTCAATCGGCCAACGGCCTCCAATGAAGAGGCGCATCCACCGTGACTCCGCTGATGACGTTATAATGCCTTCGGGTTCCCACAAGCGTGGGTGGCTTCACACCAGATCGCGGACGTGGGGAAGTCACCAAGATGCTTCCAAAGGATGCCCAACAAAGCTGAAGGGGAGGCGGAGGGAGGAGATACTAGCAGTCAGACTTTAAGAGCTAAAATGAGAAGAAGACAGAATGAAAGTAATGGGAGGTCAGAGTATAGGTAAGAGCGTTGTGAACTTGGGAAAAACTGTGAATGCTCTTCCAAGATGCAAAGCAAATGCCGTGTTGGTCAGGGGAGCCTGCAGGGGAGAGGGGACGATGGGTATGAACAGGAAGAGAAAGGACTTGTGCAACATGAAACCAAGGTGGTTCTCTTCTAAGGGGCATCAAGCTTACACGGGAACCAACCCGAGATTAATTTTAGGAACGTCAGAGCCCACCACTCAAGTAAACACCCAGTCTGGTCCTTCAAGCCTAGAATCCAAGCTGTGAACATTTTCTTCTGCCTTTTGGTGGCTCATGCTCTAATGGTGGCAACGTGAGCATCATGCCAACAGGTACACACATAAAGCACGGGCCATCAGAAAAAGTCCTCGGTCACAGATTCTGAAGTGAGCTCCCGCCATGCCTGCCAGTGAGGAAGACGCCCGTTCCAGCCAGTCCACACAGTCTGGGAAGGCGCACCTTCCACGGTTCCCCAAGCCTCACAAATGCTAAAAGCTAAAACACACAAATAAGAGTGTTTGTGCAAAACAGGTTATCAGTTTGCCTCATGACTTCCAACTGCGAAACACTGAGCCCAGAACAGACTTTAAAGTCAGGCCCCATAAGATCGCATGATGTCCCGCATTTAAAGCTGCAAAGGAGTTGCAGGTGAGGATGCCAAGAACCACTGCATCTTCTTTCCCGGAAAGGGACCAAGGCAGACAGTGGCCCAGCAGCTCTCAGGAGGGAGCTGGTCAGCGACGGGAGGAAGAAAAAGCCGGAGAACTCGAGGCTCCGCCGCAGGGACCCAGGCGGCACTCAGCTGTTGGCCTGTGAACCTGTCCTCTGGGGGGCCGCTCTCCGAAGCCACCTGGGGGAAGGACGAGCAAAAGGATGTGCCCCAGTGCCTGGCCGACCCACCAGTCTTCGACCCCACGCGCCTTGGGGAGTCATCGCCAACTAATGCATCGTAACTGTCTCGGACAACTGATGCCACTACGTGCCATTTTAATTCCAGCCACCATGTTTCGCCCAGATGTTGAAAAAACAAAAAAAAAAAAGTCACTTATATTGCAATAACAATTATGCTTATAAACGCCATCCGCAGAGCTAATTCCAAATTCCTGAAGGAGTTAAGGATACGCTGATTAAACGGCCCGCCAATATTAAATCCCCTTCTCATTTTGGTTGACTAAAGTCTCCAAAGTTCTATTGGCCAGAACAGTGGAATCTGAATTTGTAGGAACCAAGGTCATTTTCTAGGCGATTCTTCAGCGTTGGGCGGCGGGCCAGGCCGCAGAGCAGCGAGCCTGAGGCTTGGAGGGCAACGGTCTTAACATTTTCACACAGCCGCCTGGGTGTCCTCGAGTAAGGCATCTGCACCCGCAGAGCCTCCATTGTCTTGATTTGTGAAACGAGGCATCTGAGCCCACGTCTCCCTCAGCTGTAAAATTCTATGATTCTCTGAGTAACAGTTTACCGTGCGGCAGGCCAGGCCACCGCGGTAATCAGAGTGATCCAATTAACACTACGGAGCGTAGACTATTCTATCTGCGGTCTCGGAAAAGAGGCTCCTTGAGAGCGCAAGGGGTTCAGATCAGGAAACCCAGCCACGTTGCTTTTTCTGAACGGATGAAGCATCTGAGGTCAAAGGTGCTGAACAAGGTGTTTAAATGACAAGCCGGATCCGTGGCAGGAGAGGGGGGGGCTGCGTGCACCGCCCCGCTCCCTTCCCCAGCTTCCTCCCGCGAAGCGGCTTCACCCCCGTGCAATCCGCAGCGTGCCTTTCCTGCGGCTCGTTAAACGCAGCCCACAACCCAGCTGGGCTTTACAGGCCTCCGGGCTCTTGGTTTTCCAGACACCTAATCCAGGAGACATTTGAAGAGTGACCTAGAGGTCTTTGTGAAAATTCACCAGGATAAAATAATTTGGAGAAGTCCTCCAAGGCCTATCGAAAAGAGCAGATATCTACATGCCGGCCCTCGCTTCCCGTGGGATCGGAGGAGTATTTCGCAGACGGGAAAATCCCGGGGCACCCAGGCCTGACCCAACCACTTCAGGGACCCGAATGCTGCCTCCAGACTGTACGTGTTTTCTCACTCTGGCTTTGCGTCGCTCTGACAGCACAGGCGCGCCCTTGGGTGGTACCCAACACACGCCCGCACCTGTTTCTGGCCACGGCACGCCAGCTGCTGGGGGTGAGGGAGGCTGTTCGGGCAGATGGCCCCCACACGCGTCTCCCGGGACGGGATCTTCGGAGGGACGGTCCCGCAAACCTTACAGGGACCAGCTGGGAAGTCCCGCGCAGGGGCAATGCTGCGCGCCACCTAATGGGCTGCAATTTGTTCCAATATGAGACCATCTGTTCCAAAGAATACAAGTGACAGACGGTAAACCCTGCATCACGCTTGCTCCAACTCGGTTGAATCTCAGACATAATGACGTGTGAAAGAAGCCAGACACCCATGAGTATGTGCTGCAGGGTCCCATGTCCATAAAATGAAAAATAAAAAACAGAAAACCAATCTGCAGTAGTGAGAGACGCCAGAACGGTGGTTGCATCATAGGTACGGGGTGTGGGCCTGGAGGGGCACAAGGCGCTTCCGGGCGGGGGGTGGGGGCGCGGCTAGAAATGTTCCCTTTCTTGATCTGGGTGGTGGTTATGCAGATATAAAAAGACTTTAAAATTCTGCAAGTTCTACACTTCAGACATGCGTGCCCTTGGCTGTACGCATGTGATACCAGAATAAAAATTAATTTAAAAGACTGTGTGAGGTCCGCGATGCACACAGAGAATGTGATTCCTTGCTGGCTTCAGCATAAGCGTATCTGCAACCCTCTGCATTGAGTCTTTGCAAAGATATTAGAAGTGACAGTAGCTAAACTGAGTGTTTATATGCACCACGCACCCCATGGGGGGAGACGGGAATTACATGAATTCTCTCCGTTCATCCTTAAAACACTTCCACAGAGTAGGTAACCATCCACACCTCCGTTTCACAAATGAGGCCATGGAGGCACAGGGGAGTGAAGTAACTTGTCCAAAATCACACAGCAAGTAAACTGTCAGAATCAGGATTCGCACCCAACGCCGTGACTCCAGGGCCTGTGTTCTTCGTTAGTGTTACACTTTATCGTACGCTGCCGCGGGACGAAACTTGTCAAGCAGGGTCCCACGTGATCCCTTCGTCTTCTACCCCCGTGCCTGAGAAGCTCCCGACATTACAATGCGGTCTGTACGCTCGGAATGGAGGGGAGAGAGGAAAGAATTCAGAGGGGAGACGGGCTAACAGTCTAGCGGATTATTCTGAGGTGTGTCCCGGAGGTGCCCCCAGCTGGGGGCACGCGCCTGTTTCCATCCCCTGTGGCGGCACAGAGCAGGCGCTATCGGCGGCGTGTTAGTATCTGACCTTATCCCTCCCCCTTCATAGGAGCAGCATTTCACGCGCACTCACCGGGCTTTCTGGGATACCAGGTCCCAGGACAAAACCTCCAAGCCTGTCACACACTTTTAAGATCTGCTTTAGGCCTTTTGAGGAGGCCAGAGGGGCTTATTTTCCCCCTCTGTCCCTAGCCTTTATGTTATTTATTATATTATATTATTATATTAAATACAATGTGTCTGTAGGACCTGGAAAAGGCACCAACGGCTCTTTAATTAAAAAACACACGGTTCGCCGTTTTCCACACATCCTCCTTCCTCAGTGAGTGTCCTTGAGGTTCGCATATGAAAACCCATTGATTGGATTGTTGATTTCTCGATTAAAAGGGACCACAAAGAAGAGGTCGTCTGTAAATCTATCGTGGAGAAGGGCAGAAAGCGACACATCACACGGGGAGAGAGCCATCCCTCCGCCGCCGCCCCCACGGTAACTTTACGTACTTGCCTTCATGAAGTGACGGAAATACACACCCGTGTGCACAGGCCTCGCATGCTCACACGCGCACACATGCAGCCATGCCTACACTTTGCTCCTTTGTGTGGAACGCAGGCTTGGCAAGAAAACCAACTTCGATGCGGGTCAAAGCTAAGAGGGCAAAGAAAGAACGCTTCACGGGGAAACAGTACTTCTGGATAACTTCAGCCCTGAGGAATCAATTTGGTGATTGCTGAAATGAACGAATCTGTCACGGATTTCTGGCAACAAAAACAAGCCACGGTGACTCTCAGGTCGACGCCCCGCACACTGTGAGAAACTGTAGGCAGGCCTGCTGGGATCCGATGTGGGTGTCAAGGGTCGACGGTACTGGTGGTGCCAATGGCAAATTTGAATTCTTTTGAAGGTACCGTTCCCTATCCATTGGCAAGTGGCAAAGGCAAAGGGAGGCTCTTTTACGAGGGTCTTACCTGGTCGTCATAGCGATAGGTGAGGAACCGCTCCCCTGTGGTGTCTTCCAGAAAACTTCCCTGCGGGGAGAGCGCAAACTCGGGCAGGAAGTAGGCTCCCGGAGACGTCTCCGCTGAGGCCTGAAAGGCAAGGTCGCGTGGTTACACACAAGGCCGCAGCGTGGACCCCAGACCCGCCATCTCTGGAGAGGCTGATTCCAGGAGAACTGGCCCACGGAGGGCTGTCCCCAAAGGGAAGGCCCAGGTAAGACACGCCAGGTGTCTGGGCTGAGGCCCAGAAAGAGGAGGGTATCGCCCTGGTCCACCTCCATCTGGCACACACAGCGCTTATTCCCTGACACCTGCCTGGCCCCCCAACACCTGCCAGAGATTCAGCCACCGTGTGGGCCAGCTTGCTTAAGTTCTGTGCAGGTTTCCTCTGCGATGCCGCCTTCCTGTCTACTGCAGCATCCCTGCCATGATGGCCTGAAGCCTCCACTTGAATGCCTTTAGTGGTGGGGAGCTCACTCTCTCCCAAGGCAACGGACGTCTGTCAGACTCTAGCAAGTGCACAGATGCCACACTAGTCTGCAGGGGTGAATCACGCCGCCCATGAGGACGAGGTGCCCTGGCCGGCACCATCTTTCCCGCCGTCCTCTCCCACGTCCTCTCCCTCTCCTCTGCCCCCCCCGCCCCCCACCATAAACACACACACACCCAGTCTAATCTGAATTCTGGAGCCTGAACAGCGTGAGCACGAGTTACAGAATCGCAGACCCAGGAGGCGCTGGAGCCGGGAGAGTTCCCCCCGCTCCTCCCGCGGCCTCGCCAGCAGCCACACACAACAGGGCCGGCGGGGGCCCTTGGCACAGAAGGCTGGGAGCGAAGGGGACTCAAGTTCACCGTGAGCCAGGAACGGTGAGAACCACCTCACTTGTCCTCACACCCGCCGGCTCCGTGAGGCAGGTGCCACTGCCCCCGTGAAGAAACCCAGACGCAGGCGGTCAGGTAGTTTTACTGGGGACACAGAGACACCCCGGCGCCGAGGGCAAGGTCGACGCTTTCCGTTGCGTCCCCTCACCCAGTCCGTGGAATACAGTCCCAGAGAACCCGACCCGCCTTCAGGGGCAGTGGCTGAGCTCGCTCACAGCTCCCAAAAGCCAGCGTCATGCCCGTGGCAGATGGCTGAGAACACGTGCTGACGCTGTCACCCAGGTGGGAGGTGACTTCTTAAACGTCAGGAGGCTTGGTGGCACGTAACTCCCCACAGGACGGGGTGACCAGAGAGGTGAGGGGCCTTAGGAGGCGGGAGCCAGAGGGAAGGGAGGGGGAGAGAGGCCAGACCTGCCCAGGACGCAGACCCGGGGCCCCGGGTAGAAGCTGCCGACATGCATTATCCTCCCGGCCACCGGCCACAGCAGCCGCGTCTCCGGGGACGGGGTCCGGAGGAATCCACACAACCCTCCAGAGACCGCGAATCCGAGAGTGGATGGAGCGGTCTCCCCACCGCCCCCTCTGGTGGAAGGGAGGCTTTGACTTTGGCAGGAGGAAGTAAATTCGAGATGGCAATCAGAGGACAAGATTTCAGCATCTGTCCCAGGGCTCACGCTGCCCCACAGAAAGGACAGAGAATGGGTGACCGAGGCTGGGCACAGGGTCTGCCTGGTATAACGGAGAGAGGCCCATGCAGGAGGGGACGGGACCCCATGTGCCTCCAAAGTCACGCACTCATTAAAAAAAATACGTGATTCCCACTCAAATGCAATGAGCCAGTGTGAACACTGCTCCCAGCGCGGTCTGAGCGCGACACGTGAGACGTTCGTCTCTTTCCACAGTGCGAATGGGGCCAGACACCGGGCCCCTGACCCCCCCAGACGGGCGGGAAGCGGCGGCCCCTCGGTCGTTTTCCACGTGCCACTGTGACGCGGGGTCTCTGCAACCCACACCGGGAGCCGCCCACACTCCCTGGGGATCTGGCCCGTCACGCCCGCCTGCCAAGGCCCTGTTGGGGCCCCCACCCCATCGGCCAGTATCGACACCACTCTCCTCTCGCCTCATGGCATCCCACATTCGGCCACCAACACCGAGCGGGAAGAGGGCTGAGCCCTGGGCCCTCTGCCACCACGAAGAGCCTGTCCCCAGGCTGAGGGTGGCTTTCCCCATTATAATCGTTTTCTATTGATTTTTTTTTTTTTAAGAAAAAGAGAGGAAAGGAAAAGGAGAAAGAAACGTCGGTGTGTTGTTCCATTTACTTATTCATCCTGTAGTTGATTCTCATAGGTGCCCTGACTGGAGATCGAACCTGCAATCTTGGCACATCGGGATGACGCTGTAACCAACTGAGCCCCTTGGCCTGGGCCTTTCCCCAGTTACGGTCCCCTCATTTCAGAGGTCTCCACGTGGGCCACGAGGGAATCCAAGGAACACCTCGTCAGAGGCTTGTACAGGGACGCAGGCGGGGCACCGACGTGAGATGCTACACGGCAGAGCTGAGACTCCAACACACCCTCACAGGACAGGACCGAAGCCAAATGCTCAGAAGGCAGAGCCGTGAGCCCCGATGCAGAAGTCTTTCCCCTCACACCAGGGCTGAGCAGAAGGCATGTGAGGCCCTGTCAGGGAGCATCATGCAACCTCCATTAATGGCCACCAAGACCTACAAGGGAGAGTTCAGAATTTGGAGGGGATGTGGGGACCGTGGCTACAGGAGAAGGTCCCCCTACTAAGGACCTGGCACACAACCCAGGCATGGGCCCCAACCGGGAATTGAACCGGTGACCCTTTGGTTCGCAGGCCGGCTGGCAATCCACGGAGCCACACCAGCCGGCGACATTTTCTGCTTCTCTAAACTGATGCGTTGGGAGCCTGCCGTTCCCCTTGGAGGCTGCAGAGTATCTGCACTCCCCAGGCACCTGGCTGGGATCTGCCTGTACCTACAGCAGCGCTCCGACCCTTTGCTCCTTGGCCCTGCGTTCCTCTCTGCCTCCGCAGCCCTCAGACGACGGCCAGGCCACACCCTGGCTGTTCCAACGCCTCCTGCTCTCACGGAGCCACAGCCCGGCCCACCCAGGCCCTAAGAACACGGGTACTGAGGAGGGACGCAGAGAACGCCACCGCCTGATGGCTGACAGGTTAGCTGGGCAGGGGGTGTTTATTGCCAACCTTGGAGACCAGAACTGAGTACCTGGCAAATCCGTGTCCATCCCTCACGTGTGAATGCAAATCAAATCAGTAGCAAAAAAGAGAGGAGGAGAGAGAGGGGAAAAAAAGCAAGAGCAGCTCTTCCCAATTTGGCCACGAGACACCACCCCACCTGACAAAATCCAGAAACTCGTCGGGAACTTATTCCTGTTTATTCAAGGTCTTTCTCCCCCTACAGCTTTCTCTCAGGAAACAGCTCATCTGTGTGGCTGAGATCATGCAGGCTTCCCAAACGCAGCCTTCCAAGAGAAGAAAAAGACAGAAATGTGCTGTTTGCACATACTCCCAAAAACGTTTATATCCGTCGTGAGCCGGTTTGTTTTCCCAAGCCGAGGACAGGAAGTCTTCAGCGTGAGCACGTCGGCACAGCGGCCAAGTCCGCCGCTGGGTTGCTCGCGCCTCCCAGAACTCTCCAGCATCAAGACGGCAGGAAGGCCGTGATGCGGGGTCAGGCGGCTTTGCTCCAGCGACACAAAACGGCATCACTCGGATCTCCATAAACGACAAGAACCTGGGGGTCTAGGCTAAAACGTTAAGGACTTCTAGGAAAAAAAAAAAGGTGATAGATTTGAACAATGACGAGGCCAACGAACATCAATCCCTGCAATTCAGTGGGAACAAAGTCACACTGGAACCGTCACTCAGCAGAAGAAATCACAAGAAATGCACAATTTTTTTGGTTAAAAAAAAAAAGGAATGCCAACGATAGTGTTTGGTCCAAACAAGGTGTTAGGCATGATATAGGTTTACAGGTTAAAACTGATATCTTTTTAAGGTATAATTTTAATTTCTTAATAATATACAGAATAACAGCTAATGTTTTGAGTGCTTAAAACATCCTCACACAGCCCTTGCTGGATGGCTCACTTGGTTGGAGCCTTGTCCCATGCACCAAAAGGCTGCAGGTTCAATCCCCGGTCATGGCACACGCCTACGTTGCAGGTTCAATCCCCAGTTGGGGTGCATACAGGAGGCAACCAATCGATGTTTCTCTCTCTCACTCTCTCTCCCTTCCTCTCTCTCTCTCTTCCTAAAAATCAATAAACATGTCCTCAGATGAGGATTAAAAAAAAATCACATCATTCCATATGTGTTTGACACTTGGATCAGTTTTACTTATGGTACTAGATACATGGAAAACCCCATCTATCAACTAGACAGAATCAGAGACACTGCACACCTGTTACAACTGGGGATGGATGCTCAAGGTTAGAGAGGGGCCAAATGGAAGGGGCCAGAGGTAAAGTTGGGGGCCTGGAGGAACAGCCCACCGGCATGAGGGCAGTGTGGTCCTTGGCACGTCCCCTTCATGTCTCCAGGCCTTCTGCCCCTGTGGGTCAATGGAGCTCCAAAATTCCTCGAAACGGGGAACATCGAGCATGAAGATGAAGGGGCGGTGATTTTGTTTCTTTACTGTTTTTATATTATCAAAGTAACACCGTTGCTATGAATTTAGAAAGCTCAGCTAGAGCAAAGCCTGGAGAGAACTGTAGGGAAGCTGGAGGGGCTGGCGCGGCCTGGACCTTCAGGGGGTCTGGGAGGCAGATGACCAAGTCAGTGTTTATCCCTATTAACGAGAGTGGTGAAGCTGTTGTTACAGAGAACAGACTCAAGGGGGCGTGAGACAGAAGGCAGCTCGGCTGCTCTACTCTTCCAGGAGAGAAGCGACCACCGCGAGCACCGGGGAAAGCAAACAAACCACCAAAAGCCACATATGTCAGAACTCAAGTTAAGAAAATGATGCCAATATATTTGAAATACTGGGAGAAACAAAAAAGTTTCAGGAAAAAAATTCTACGTAATCAAAACCAGCTCTTGAAAGAAAAATCTTGGTGGTCCTTGGGAAAAAAAGAGAACGGAATCGGTATTTAAATATCTTCCCATGAAGACAACAACAGATCCAGAAGGTCTAAGATGTACACGCTACAAAACATTCAAAG